AATTCTACGGTACGCGTTGCATGACGAAACGAGCGTGTGTATAAAGGACAAAGAGTGATTAATCTATAGGCACCATACAAAACGAATCCACACTGGTAAGATTCCCTTGAATAAATAAGAATCCCATACGAACCTGGCAATGCAAGTCTTTTCCCTTTTCGATAGGCAAAAGAGTCGGGTAAGCTGACGAGGTGGCCGGCATAACAGCCATCCCACGTGGCACGCCACCACTTCAGCGGTTTCTAGCAAAAATTGACCGGAAGGATTACATTGGAATTTCGCGCAAAGAAGTAATACTAAATTGGCAAGGTTGGAAAGTCTAAGACCACATTGGCATCTGTACAATAGGTTTAGGACTGATTGGACAGTTTTTCCTATATATATGAGAAGCTATAATTAATGATTTTTGTAGTTGAGTCCTCGATCTTTCTCAAAATTGGGATTTTAGTCCCTAAAATATTGTTGAGCTAGACAATCCAAAATTAACCCTGAAAATTGAGTTACATGCAAATGATGATCCAAATTCAATACATAAGAGAATTAGAGGATATCATTACACAAAAATTGAAGGTTTCAGGAAATATAAAACTTCTCGAATTTCAATTATTTTTGTTTCTGTTCAGAAATTAAATAAGTTAGTTTATAAATTTGAAATTCTTTATTATTTTAGAGACTTTAGTCTGGTAAAAAAACTCTTTAAAACCATTTTTTGGTGTGTTGTCTTACTGATTGTTTTTTCTTTGAAGTTGAGTAACTTACTAACAAAATGACTATGTTACCACTATAGATTTTATTATATTATTAACATTGTTTCCATTGTACAAGTACCAATGTTTATTTGTCAGTAACATACTAATAAAATAATCGATTTATTAGGTTGAAATACTCTTATAGACTACGTATAGTTAGGTCATTTTTACAAATGAGAGTGTTTCTCTACTAGTAGACTACGACTTGTTTGCATATGCTACAAGTTGTATTGATTAACGATTGTAACTTATGAATAAAATAACTATTTTACCATTGGAAATTTTTTTAGTAGATTGTTAACATCGTTTAGATTTTCCGATTGATGTAACATACTAACGATTTTCCAAGTCGAAGTACCCTTGGAAATTAGAACAATCGTTCATATTTCCAAGTGAGCGCATTTTCTATTAGTAGATTACGAATTTGTTTACATGCTTTACTAGTAAGTATTGGTTAACTTACGAAAAAAAACTATTTTGCCACTATAAATTCCTAGTAGATTGATAACATCATTTTGAGTTTGTGAGTGTGCCAACGTTTATTGGTTAATAACATGTCAACCGTCATTCAAATGAACACGGTTTTCGTTTGTAGAGTACAAATTGCATACATACTTTACCAGCAATGTCAGTGAACGGTTGTATATCTTATAAATAAAAATAACTATTTTATCACTATAAATTTCTAGTAGATTATTAATGTTGCCAGTAGCTTGCTATTTACACCATTAAAATTCAAATATGAGTTGTAAATTCATTAAAAAAAAATTAATGAGTTACTACTACATTGACGGTTGTAAGTCACTATCGTCGTTAGTAACCTGACTAGCAATTTACTAGTTGCACAAACTCATAAATATGATTTAGAATTTATTGCGAGTGTCATATATTTACGATGCATGGAAAAAGACATATTAGAGGTGTACTATCGGTGGCTGATTATTCATATGGAAATTTTCATTTGGAGTATGATTCGGGGCATTATGTTGGCCAGGAAGGAGAGAATCACTTGTAGGAGTGTGCGACAAGGTAGGCCTTGTGTGGTCAACGGCGTTGAGAGGAGACATTTGAATGATGGCCAGTGTCAAAGTCATTTTCTCTGTATAAAAATCACGACAACTGCAAGTGGAACTTGGAGAAAGATCTGTCGCATGGAGGGTTTCTGATCCTGAGAGTAACTGGTTTGACCTTTACATGCATGCTTTATCCTCTGCAGCTGATACTATCTTCTGCAATAGGAATGGTTATGGGGGAAACATTTAAGCAGAGACATTGTGTAAGAAGAGAGTGTTGTTTAGCTGCCAATCTCACGGTGGCTTGAGGAAGAAGCCGGTGCGCCAGTCCGTAACTGGAGACTTTAGTTCCGAGCTTGGCACGATCAGCTCCAATGGCATCTTCGATACAAGCAACTCAGATGACCAAATTATATACCGAAACTAGGAACGCAGAGGTTAATGAGAGACATTTCATTGAGTCTTAAATTGCTGTTATTGTTCTTACAATCCCCGAAGCAAGGGAAAACGTTGATGTCCATAGTTGCTATGACCGGGATTGAACCGACATACATGATCATCTGATGTTAATTTTGTGCATGTTCATCAGAAGTAGTGTCATGAAGAGAATTTTCTTGATAAATTCTACATATGAGGCTGACAGGTACTCGATATATATAGTTCACACACCACAAGAATTAACAAACATTACATATATTTTCGACATGGTGATTCATCTTCTCCACGCAACGATCTAATTTCAATGAGTCCAATGGAGTGGCTGTTCCAAATTTGTGCACGGAATTTTGAGAATTGACTCGTCATACTTGGCTTCATGCTCATCTGATGAGCTGGTTGACTGGACTATTGTAGCCCTTTGCCTGGTTTTGGGTAGTCAGACCCCGGTGGGTATGCGTGTACTATTCATGAAGTATTAACTAGAGATGAATAAAATGGTACATAACATGAAAACCATCCGTATATTATTTCGTCTCTAAGGTTTTTGACTTCCAACCGAGATTTAAGGGGGTTTTGAGTTTCATTGATAAGATTCGGAATCAAAGCATGGGTCTGAAAACTTCCTCGTCTTTTAATGTAACGATTATATCACGTGACATGTTGACATGTTGTCGCTCATTTAGTCACATATCGTCAATAACTGTGAGTTTCCAACATGCTTGAACATGTCGATGTTTGATTCGAGGGGTAACCGGGTGTTAATACTATTAGGCGACCTTTTCATTCCACTATATCTAGTTACTAAGCAACGAGATATATTTTGCACAACACTCCAGGGTAAGCTGGTTGTGCACCCAACCCAAAGTTCGAGTTGGTATGAGAGTCCGAATTCTCAATTTCAACTCCTCGCGCTTTGCTTTAACCCGTTTTGTGAGAGTTTCCTTTCCTCGTGCACAACGGATTTGGCTGATTCTTTGGCCAACACGTCGTCGAAACCAGACCTCACGACGGTTGCGCATTCGATCTCGAGAATAGTCTTTATGACAGAAAAAAAAAAGTAGCAGTCTTCCAGTGTGGATACAAAGAGATACTACTGCGATTGACAACTCTCAAGTACGTCAGATGAATGAAAGAGGTACACACAAACGTCTCTGTACAAGTTAAATTGAGAACAAGATTACAATGGGTCGATCGAAGTATACCCGAAGGCGCGAAGGGCATGCATGCGCTATAACCATCCAAAACGTGAAGATAATTCTGTTTGCTCACAGGCAGGCCTCACCAATTAAATCCCACACAAAAAAGATCAATTACTCTTTTCCAATCTTTCTTTGGACATTCATGCGTACTGATCTTCAAAGGCTACTTTATATCGTCAAAGCAAACTCAACATGCCTCTAGCGCTTTTATTCGCACTAGACTTTGAAATCGTTCTCAAATGCTTGACTCATCGTTATATTCCTGTGGAGATCATGGCGCATAATTTGCAAATCTCGGGCGACATGTGATGTTCCTGAGAGAACAGACTTAGCCAATTTACTCTCCTAAAATTCAAAGTATCCGTACTCGTCTCATCATACTCGAATGCACAAGGTCTCCTCCCATCAGAAACGCCGCATTTTTCACAATCTCACATAAACTCATGTCCACTTAATGAAGAAGAATGGTTTGCTCAGATGCCTTTTGGACTTGGGGATACTCTCAGCAGCACTTGATAATAGGCGCATCAAACCTGCCTCATCTGTGATTCTCACCGCTTCATTCATTGTCCTCTGGTTCACATCACCAGGGAGCACAAAAACCTCTTTCGAAGGCAATGCCTTCTACATTTAGTAAATCCTTTCTTTCAAGCATATGATTTTCTATCTCTACAGTACTTGTCTGTGAATGCTTATGAAGGCCGATTTGTGAAGCATATGCTGTCTGTTCCTTGACAGCGCAGTTTTTTTGGGGGTGGAAAAGAAAAGATTTGTCTGTAAGATAATCAGACCAATGGGGTTCTCTAAAAGCAAAGCAAAACAGTGAAAAAAATGTAAACCCGGGCATACGGTGATAGCTCATGTATAACAGCCAAAAGCCTTGCAAGCTAAACCTGAATATATGCCAATTCAAGACAGCTACATGTACTTTACTCTTCGTTTCGATCGGCACGGCACTGAGATTCAAGTACTTCAATCTAACCAGACTTGATAAATCTAATCAGGCAAGGAACCCTTTGAATATATATTTAATTCTTAATGACCACAACCCATCGTTATCTCAATGTTGATAACTCTTCTACAATTTCTTAAACAAAGGGTGAAGTCTTTACGTAATGTTGGAACCACCCCACATCATGTGTAGAATTCCAGTAAAAGCATGGGTGACTGACAAATCTTTTTGAGTAACTCTTTTAGAATACACATCCTCTCTCTCTCTCTCTCTCTCTCTCTCCCTCTCTCGTCCTGCTGAAGCTGAGATGTGAGAGAAGTGAGAGTTACTTTTACTTTGTGCAGGCCGAGTGGTGAGGAACTAAACTTTTAGTTCTGAAATGAATTGAAGGAGACACTTACCTCACGCCTTCGACTCAAGCAAAGGATAAAAAAGGAGGGGAGAGGAGGAGTTGAAGTGGCGCTTTCACAAAGGAACACCGGCATGTGTGGCACGCTTAGCAGCCTAATCATTATTATTACTATTTTTAGACTATGAAGCTGATCTAGGTCGGTTAATCTGGAGGTGTAAATTATCTCATTAACCTTATGGACTAGTTAAATGCGCGAGGCAAAACCCCAAATGAGAGTCGAACACACGTGTCATAAGCCGAGCCCGACTTGCCTCCAGAAAACATAAACAAAAGAAAAGGGCCAGACATAACACGCCTTCAATAAAATAAAGAAGCAGCCGTGTTCTGTTCATTAGTTGGACAAGGAGATGATTCTGTGTATATATATACGGAAGTGGGGATACATTATTTCTAGCTTACCTGGTTTCTCATCTCACATTCATCTTCTCTTCTCTCGTTTTTTCTCTTGCAAAATACCTCCTCAGGGTTGGCCAAGTCACATTGTCTCTGGCTGGTTTTAGCTCAAAAGCTTGTGTGCTTCTGTCTTTTCCTTTTCTGTTTCTTTTTCTCCAGAATTGAAGCTTTGGTTGGGTGTTGAGAATGGGAAGGCAACCTTGCTGTGAGAAAGTGGGGTTGAAGAAAGGGCCGTGGACAACTGAAGAGGACGAGAAGCTCATCAAATTCATCCTCACTCATGGCCAATGCTGTTGGAGAGCTGTTCCTAAACTTGCAGGTCACAACCCAACACCCCCATCTGCTCTGCAGTCTCTCTTTCTCCCCCTTCACATTCATCTGAAAGCTCCTGTGATGGGTTTCTTGGAGAATTCGATTGACATCAAGAAACCCCCAGAGAGACATTTTCCTGGTAATGTTTTATTTGTATGATTGTCTCGGTGTCTGAACAAGTTGTGATGGAAAAAATTGGCAGGATTACTGAGGTGTGGGAAGAGTTGCAGGCTCAGGTGGACGAATTATCTGAGGCCAGACCTGAAAAGGGGGCTTTTATCTGAACAGGAAGAGAAACTGGTCATTGACCTCCATGCCCAACTTGGCAACAGGTAAATACTTTCTCAAGCTATGCATGTAAAATCTAGTTGCTCTGGCCAATTCTGCTTGTTCATTCTTTCGCTTCAGACTCTATATCCCCCATTTGGTCTTTCCTGAAGATGTAATTTCAGATTATTTTACCCATTACGAGACTGAGTCTCGGTAACACCTATACACATGCACATTGCAAGAGAGACTAATTCGAAGACCCTGTCTATCTGTCCCAATTTTATATGAAACTGGAAAATTATCAGAACAATATGTTTCTTCCCCTGTTTCTAGATTCATTTAAACTACACATTGGGCCAAATTTTATAAAAGCTTCTTGCTTTGATTTGACATATTGCAGGTGGTCGAAGATTGCCTCTCACCTACCCGGAAGAACCGACAACGAGATTAAGAACCATTGGAACACTCACATCAAGAAAAAGCTCAAGAAGATGGGCATTGACCCTGTCACCCACAAGCCATTGGTCTCAAACCCATCTGACCAGCCCCAGAGCCTGCAAAATCAGCACCAGCAAAAGGAAGAGCAATCTTGTTCAACAATTTCAGCCGATGCCGCAAAAACGCCGTCAGCTGATGATTTCATCGATTCGGTCATAACCGAAGCCAAAGAAGACGAAGACAGAACAAGTTACATGGCAAATGCAAGCATGCTCGACACAATCGAGGTCACGGACATAAACAGTTTCTGCACAGACGAGGTCCCTCTGATTGACCCTAATGACATTTTGGTCGCTTGCCCTCCTTCTTCCTCGGCCTCTTCATCTTCTTCCTCGTACAACAACAACGGCGGCAGCAGCAACAACTTCTTTCAAGAATTGCAGTTTCCTGACTTGGACTGGTCTTATGGTGAATTTGGTAATCATAGCGACGGTGGCAACCAACACATCAAGATGTGGGATGACGACTACTTCATCAACTGGGATTTTCTGGTCGATAACGTCGATGACAAAACGCTAATGGTCGATCCTCATCCGGCCAATTCGTGCCAAAGATCGGCTTTGGATCAGTCATCTTGGACCAATGAGGTAGTGCAGTAAATGAACAATTAAAATTTGGTCTTTTTTCTTCTTTCTTGTGTGCAGTTTTCTACATGCATTACATCACAGAGAGAATAAGAAGCATCCCATGTTAGGGAAGGGGGAAAAGGACAGCACCCTTCTCTGGTGTGGCTTTCCCATTTTATTTATTTGTCTTTCCTCCTTTGAAAGAGAGAGGAGCAATGAAAATTACTGTGTTTGATTGCATCTAAATGTAATTAGTCGGTCATTGAAATTGCAAAACATTATGCCTGTCATTTCTATTTGCAGATGATAATGTTTTGATCATCCGATTAGTCCTTATAAAAACATGAGAACCATCATCATCGCGATCATTAAGAGGGTTTACCGATCATTTAATGGTAAGCCTAGAAGTTCTTTTAAACGAGAGACACCGTAATGTGATCAAAATACCAAAGGGTGGTTTACCTTCTTACGGTTCGGGTTCGTTATATTTTATTTGGCTATTGGTGATCTAACAAATGATTAATTAATATTTTCCAAACGCGTGGAGAAATTATGTTGAAATTTGCTATGTAACAAGCATTATTAACACGTGTAACTTACAAGAATAAATAAAACCAAGGGTCCAAAATGTTGTTTTCAACTATTGAACCTGACGCATGATCACCTAAAAGGGAGTGCAACTTTTGAAAGATTTTGGTAAACACTTGGTTAGGTTCTTTTAATGAATGCTTTGTAATCATAGTTTATGCTCTCTGTTTTGCTTACAAATCTTCTAATGTTTGCTTTTCTTTTAAGCACCTTTCCGCCATTGACTAAGCAACATGTAGGCTTAAATTTCAAAGTGGACCATATACCATCTTTACCATCTTTGACATTGCTATGGCAACGTAGCACTATATTTTCATTTTGGAAAAGTATAACATATCATTTCCTAAAACTATTTTAGCCCACACTTTGCACCTTCAAAATTTTGAAAGTTTTCTGTTCATACCATAGAATTTAAGAAATCACACAAAAAGAAAAGAACAGAAAATTAGAGAATGTAAAGCTTACTATTTAGAAATAGAGTTTGTACCATTGAAAACCCCAAACAGGTATCCTTATAATATATTTATCTCAAACTATTATTATCTCTCAAATTGGAGAAAATATTCCCTGATTTCAAACCACCATGGTGTGTATTTTTTTTTTTACTCATATCATCTTCTAAATTAACACGTGTCCACGTTGCTGTCTTAGACATCGAATCGAATAAAAATCTGTATTTTGTTCCTCTCTTTGGTTCTCCTTGATCCAGTCACCGACGTCGTGTCCAGGCCTTGGGTGAGCAACATACCGACCATGGAACAGCGGCATCATCGGCCAAGGACGAGATGTCGAGTGTCCACGCCACGGGTGTCCTTGTCGCTCACTAAATTTGCCGGAAAAAGCCGTCTTCTTTGAGCCAAACAAAGAAGATGCATAGTAGATCTAAGATGAACGCCATCTTCTTTGCCAGGCCAGGTCCTCGTCGCTTACCAAATCGGCTAGAAAAAGCCATCTTCTCTGAGCCAAACAAAGAAGATGCACAATAGATCTAAAGATGAAAGCCATCTTCTTTGCCAGGCCACGGATCTGCCGGAAAAAGTCGTATTCCTTGTCTTTGGTCGGCCATGGACGGTGGCTTAAGCCAAACACCTCAGGCCAGCGTCGCTCCATCATGGCCTTCATCGCCTTCGCCCGAGTCACGCCTCTTGTTCACGACCGTCATTGACACGAGTGGGGGGCGACTCGGCTTAGACGACCAGGACGCAATGCCGACGACTCCACTGGTGGCCATGGCGAGGGGAGGTGCTGCAACTCCGGCGAACACACTTACATGGCTGAACACATGTTTAATTAATTCCACGTTATTGAACACTTGTTAAATTATAACTGGACGGAGTTAAAAAGACACACCACCGAATGTTTTCTCAAATTAGTACCTCTATGATGCATACCCCCGAACCCAAATTTACTCACTTTTAAAATGTATACTTGTCAACACATGTGAATTTTCCGCCTTGGACCTGTCATTCTACATGTCAGATCTGTCTTGATCCGCCACGTTTGTTAACACACACCCATTTGTGAGTACTGGTTTGTGATTTTTGTGCTGGACGAAAATTAGTTTGGAAAAAATATATTATGGAATAAAAATTTGAATTTTGAATGGTATTAACCCTTAAAAATAGTGAATGAATTTTTTTAATTTTCCTTGTTTTTTTTAAGTAACATACCTCAACCGATTAATAATAATTTGTGTCTACATCCATGTCAGCTGTCCAAGCACACGTTTTGGGAATCAATTATTACTATTTCTGAAGAAGAAATCTTTCTTAGGAAATCTTGTCAATCGGTCCGGCGTATCATTCCTATTGATCTCCACCATCTCGAATTATTTTTGCTAGCTGTTCGTCGACACAATAGTCGCCATGTTACTTTGATTCCCGTACAATACTGGACGCGCATATAAATATACGATACGACTCCAAAATGATTGGCAACATATAAAATGCAAGTCTCTAGGTAGTTAGATAGACGAAGACTGCAACTCATTCAACGAATTGTACGACCCGACGTTGCAACTTATATCTTCCTATTCCTTAATTCTTTCTAGCCAATCACCAAAAATAAAAATAAAAAGGAATCAATAGGTTGGAGAAGCGTATTCGTGTAGCACAACACTTGATATTCGTTGATGTGGTGCCACAAGCTAATCAGGAAATGGGCGTTCTCACCTATTTCGCATGTTATTTGATAATCAATGTGCATGTTACAAAACGATCGAGGACGTTTCATCAGTCGGGTAATATCATCTCGGCATGCCATATGAATAAATATATCAAGTTCGGCCAGAGATTACTGTATTGACGAACATAAGAAGTGCAAATAAAAGTTTAGAATAAAGTCATCTCTCTTTACTTATATAATCATTCGAATTGAGAGGGACATTTCTGATTCCCCTTTTTACTTGCTGAGGATTGCAAAGGATTGCGTTGTCGTGTAAGCCCAAACCGTAGAATACGAGCAACAACGACATGAGTATAAATATATATAAGGTCTATATACGGTCAATGCTAATCGAAAGGTCTAACCTGGTGCATCATGAGTTTACAATTAATTATACTTATGAATATATATATAGGGCAACATCTATGCAAATAATTAATTTTATTTAGCTATGGTGGACAACCAAACATTGCAATCAATTATTGATTTTTTTTTTCATTTCATTTCGTATTATCGTTCATTCCGATTTGAACTAATTCAATTCCGCTGGACCAGACGTAACATTAACCTATTTGATCCCAAGGAGCCGACATGTTGGGGATGGTCCTTCCTTAATCTTAAATTTGGTTGGGTAATTTTGAGTCCACTTGTACAAAGGTGAGGGAATCATCAATGCTTCTAACTTTTCGCCAAAAATCAATTATGAAAATTGACTCAATTAGTAATGTAAATTTTATTAGTAAAGTATTAACAAGCATATTAATAAATTTGAATTATGTCATGATTGCTGATTAAAAATATGAGTACATTATTTTCATTATTATAAGTTAACTACAAATTACGGTGACCTAGTAACTTATTTATAAATAATGATTGGCATGTTTGAACTATCTGGTTCTTTTATTCAATGAATAAACTATCATATGTTACAACTGATGGATGTTGTTGATAATTTGTTTAGAGATTATATTAGCAATTATATATTCCAAAATATTGTTATAACATTCAACAAAAAAATAATACTAATACAACACTATGATTCTTAAGATATCATGAAACTGCTATGATTTTTTTAGTGTCTATATCGACTCCATAGGAAAAGCAAGTCACAAAGAATCTACCATCAATCGGAGACTTACAGAGTTACAATCAATCTTCCAATCTCTTATGTGTTTCCCAAAGCCACAATACATAAATTCTCACAAGCTCTCATATTTCTCTCACCTTTCCCTAAAAAAAGGTCACGATGAGACTTGAAATGACGATCGCAACATCTGGGCACCCAGCCAATGCCCAATGTCGAATGGCACTTCCAAGCCGGCCAAGTGCCCGATTGGGCAAACTAGCAACCCGTCAAGACTCTGTCGAGCACCCGGCTCATACCCAGTAGCTATAAGTTACTGAGCTCATCTAACTGGACTCCTCCTTTCTGTGACCACAATGCCTCCAAACTCGACTTCCAACCTATCTCAAATTTTAGGCTTCAATATAATTGGATTAAGTGCATTAAAAGTCTTAAAACTTGTCACGAAAGTGCAATTGAGTCATCTAACTTTCAAAAGTGCAATTAAGTCCTAAAACTTGTTACGAAAGTGCGTTTTAGTTCTAAAACTTTCAAAAAGTACAATCAAGTCCTAAAACTTGTCAAATTGGTACTTTGGTGACAAGTTTTGAAACTTGATTGCTCTTTTTAAAAGTTTTATGACTTAATTGTATTTTCGTGACAAATTTGAGGACTATCAGTGCACTTATCCCATATAAATTCTGATTTCACAAGGCTAGAGCAACAACTAGATCATTAAACTTCCATGGCTTTTTTTTCTTGAAGGATCAGTTTAATAAAATACGAGTTTTCTTTGAATGGAGAACACATCTTTAGTTACACTTGACACGAAATTAGTATATTTTTCAATATATTGAAATTATTCCTTGAAAAATCGAAGAAAAGCTTGCGTTTCATGTGAAATTACATATATATATATATATATATGTATGTATGTATGTATATATATACATATATATATTATATGTGTGTGTGTGTGTGTGTGGATACTTGGAAGTGAAGGTATTATGTTTGACCTCATTCATTAAATTAGATTAGGGAAAATTACCGAAAAAATCCTAAACATATTACAATTGTGCTAATTCAATCCTAAACTTTTTTTTTGGCTAATTGATTCATAACATTTTATATTTATGCCAATTTTGATCGGCCGACGCTGATATGGACAATTTTTAATAATATTTTTTTCATTTTTTATTTCTTTTTTTTATTTTATTTCTCTTTCTTTTTTTTTTCTTTCCTCTAGTAGGTCGTCGGACCTCAACAACCGGCCATTGGTGAGGTTCGACCTTGCCATGGCTGGGCAAGGCTCGATGTCGCCGTCACTAGGCGAGCTTAACCTCACTCAACGACAGCAAGGTCGAACCTTGTCCGGCCATGGCGAGGTTGAGCCTCGCTGACCAAAGGAAGAAGGAAAGAAAAAAAAGAGAAAGAAAATAAAAAGAGAAAAATAAATAAATAATTGAAAATATAATT